TCTCACTTGGGTTAAAAAATCATAGTATATTTAGAAAGTTTTGTGGTAATGTGCATGTGAAATATGAAAGCACTATCTCTTCTCATTCAAAAGTTATGACCAAGGTTAAATTTATTGTGACAGATGCACATACTAGCTGTCAATAAGATGGACAGACTGACAGACAAATGAGATTTAGTGTCCCCTCCCTTTCCCCAAAATGGGGGACAAGAATGCCCTTGCTGTTCTTGAGAAGAAGATTTATGATGGAAAAAATCCCCTGCATATTTCTTAACGCAAATCAATATTGTGTTTTTATGTCATTTTGTACAAGTTAAACATCCCTCTCAGGAATTTTTCACTCATATGGAGACACCACCATTTGAAAAATAATGAGGACAAGTTAGATTTGAGGTCAACATTCATTTTAGGAGTTTTCAACCATTAAGACCTAAAGAAATATTAACTCGATCCTTCCCCTCACCCCTTCCCAGACCCCTGTTTGTTCATGTATGCAAAAAAAAAAAATGTTTATACAAATAGTTTAATGTGGTCCATCTCTGAATGATTCTCATTCCTAATTCTAGGAAGATATGTTGACACAAATTCATGAATAAAATGTCAAGTAATCTTATCATTGATGCACTTTTATTTAATTTAAGGCAGTCATATTGTGAACATTTCCAGCTCATTAGGAGAGTGAGGATGACCTCTAGGGGTTCATAACCTTTATACCATTAAATTTACATAACATAATAACACAAGAAACAATATTATGTATAGTCAAATGGAAAAAGTTTCCTACTATTTAGGAGTCACATGATCATTTGTCATTACAGGGACAGGGAAGTGGATTGGGAGATCCCCTCAACACCCCCCCCCCCCCCTTCCCCCGGAATTTGCAGGACTATAATATATACTGGAGGAAATAAAAATGACTTTGGATGCCCTAAGTGTCCCTCCACCCTAGAAAACAGACCAAACCATAACTTCTTTTTTTTCTTGCTTCTCAGGAAATTCTGGTCTGGAACCCCCCCCCCCCCCTCCCTCCCAGAAAAAAAATTCTGGATCTTGTAACTGAATGTAACGTTGATAACGGGGGATAACTCTTCAGAATGTGAAATTCGTCTATTGTAGCATCGGATGACCTTTGATCCTTTAAACTTTAACCTAACCGTTTGCTTTTCAGACTATTTTACCCAAATCTATACCAAAACTTGTACTTACCTATTGTTATTATTTAGGCCCTGTCATCTTCATGAAATATAATCCAGTTAAAACACAAAATGAAATAATTCCTACCGACATATATGCAATGATGCACACTAGTATCCTACTGCACGTGCAGTGAAATCTAAAATGATAATGCCAATGGTAAAACTAGTACTTAAGTTGGGTACGTGACGCAAGCCAAATGTGATGCAGGTGTTTAGATACATGTATAGTGCAAGAACAAATTGAAAATTATCATTTACAAAAGATGTTTTATTTTAGCTTTGCAATCTAGGCCTATTTGCAAAAACAGACAAATAAGGTGTGTTTGTGTGTGTGTGTGTTGATGGGAGACGGGTGGGGGTTGACCATTAAATTGATTGTGTATATGGCAGCTTTCAAGAAGTTTCTGCCTAATCAAATATAAATAAACTTTGCACATATTGAAAAATTCATCAAAAACGCTTTACACTAATTTGAATAATATATTATTTGTTGTTAATCTATATGAGAAAATAGATTTAAAAAGTTCCAATTATGTGCCAAAAATCCTCCCCCCCCCTTTATCAAACCTAATTTACATCATTAATTAAATTCTGTAGTTTAATTTCCGACTGGTAATGAATTAAGAATATGAAATACCTATAAAATGGAGGCCCATGGGTCACATGGTCACTAGCTGCAGATCTGTAGCGTTATGGTTTTATATATTAATATTTGACTGCAGATCCTGTAATGCAAAAAAGGTGCAATTTACGGCGCAATATTTTTTGCGCACTTCTGGGGAGAATTTCTCCACTTTCCAGCATCGGTCAATTTACTACCTATCAATTCCTAATTTTAGGCACATTATTTAATCAATCTGTATATTTTATCCATCTCCCAACCCTTTATAGTCGTCTCTACTCGAGATAAACTCGATTAAAATTATTTGTTAGATTGCTGAAAATTCACATCAAGCGAGTTTATTGCCTGTAGAGATTACTATAAATGGCTGGGAGGTGGACAAAATATACATATTGGCCAGAGAATGTGTCCAAAATTAGGGAGTGAAAGGTAGTTGATTGACTAATGCTAGAAAGTGGAGAAATTCTGCCCAAAAGTGCTAAAAAAAATATTGCGCGTAAATTGCACCTTTTTTGCATATGGGGATCTGTAGCGTTATGATCAAAGACAAATATATAAAACCAGATCTGCAGCTACATGGTCACCTGAGCATATTATGCTCAATTTGATGAATACATGTATTATGTAAATTATTGAATTATATTGACTTTTTCCTTGGTAAAGCCCAATATGAAGAAGTGTGCATTTAGAGGCAAACACCATAGTGCGGGTATTACTGTCTCATGACAGCATCTAGTTTTATAAACTTTTGTTGCTCATATTTGCAATGGAAGAACTATTTATGAGCTATGTATGAAGCAAAATTGAATAATTGTTGTCCTGTACAACACTGATTTTTGAGTTGGCTTGCATAGCAAGCTACTCCCTGTTGACATAGCCATTTCAGAGCTGTAAAATTTTTCACGCATTCATCAAGGTGATCCATATGCCAAATATAATAGTTCTAGCAAAAAATGCTTTAGTTTGAGTGATTGTACAAACTTAAGAGGTAAAAACTGTATAAAATTTCATACTGTAACATTATTTATGCCTTCATGCTTTTAAAGAAATTTTTGATTAAATATCTGTAAGATGTACAATTACTGCGTATGAATATATGTTCAAGCATGTTAGGCGGATCTAATCTTCCCATCTGAGGTTTATTTATAATTGACCTAGAATACTCCCTAACACAAACACCTGCTGCTCTCATTAGCTGCAGCTAGTTGTTGTTGAAAATCTATTTTTAGAATCCAGATTTGCTGTGGTAATCTTTAACCTAATTATTCCATAACACTGACCACTGCAGCTAGTGTGCTTAAATTTATTATAGAATCCAGTCAAAATAATACGGAAGCCCATTAGTGCCAACCTGTATATATTAAGGAAAAGCAATATACACTTTATTTATGAACCGAACATGGATCAGAAATATAATATTCAATCTCTAAAGATGCAAAATAAACTGAATATATTAAGGTATGGTGCCCAGATGTATGAAAAAGCTCAATTGACTCGAGCGAGTAAACTCGCAGGCCCTTCAGGCCTTTGATTTAAATTATCCTATATAATTGATTGAATGTACAAAAGTATTTCTCCTGAAACAGTTTAGTTAATTCTAGTATAATTAACCATAAATGTTTAAATTACATAAATATTTATCAAAATAACACGTTTAAATACATGTAGGTAAATAAAATTTTCAAAAATGCAGCTAATATTGCTTTAAAGTATTTGAAGACAAACACAAATAGGTAAACAGACAGATGGACAGAACAAAAAATCATCGATCCACAAATTCTCCATTACTGGGGCATAATAAGAGTGCGCATGCACTTATAGTGAAACCTTAATTCGATCGATCCTCATGTAGCACAAAAAGTTTCTCTAAATCATGGTTGCATCTAGAAAGGAATTACAGTAAAGGACTTGCTTTTAATTTTCGAAAAATCAAATATCTGCTTTTGAAAAACAAGATGACCATACAGTTAGTAATGTTATTTTATTTTAAAATTTCCATTTATAGTGAAAAATTCGAATTTCTTTAGATCATGGCCCAGATGGGGGTTGAGTTTGATATAATCTCAATAAAAAATAACAAAATTGTCTTTTAGGATTGTACAAATATACTGAAAGGAAAAAGAAATGCAGGGTAAACTTTTGAGGTGAATTAAATTTGTTTTTCTTAAAATACTTTTTAGTTTTCCCATCTAACTTTTAAAATCATCTTTCAAAAAGATATAACCAAATTCTCATATGATTTTGTGTAATTATCCATGAGTTATTGAAGCTCAAATGTCGATACCCCCCAAAAGGGAAAATCGAAAACTCTCATTATCTTCAATGTCCATCTCGTGCATCTGTCAGAGTCTTATTTCTCCTTTGCATGGAATTTCATCAGAGTGTTTATCTTTCAAACCCTGGCTATATTTAGCATGGGTAACCACGCAAAAAAATTAGTCAAATGGTGCGCGCATGTGCCAGTGAGAGGAATACAACAGTAAGTTGACTGGCTCAAAAAACCAAGTTGCAGAATTGTTTTCTTTCAAATTTCCTATGAATGTAATAATTATAATCACGTGTACAATATAAATTGCTGTTTTTGTGGACTAGTAAGGTGGCGATTTAAGAGATGGCAGGACGAATAACATGCTCGTAACATGGCTCTGTTTCGCGTTAACGTCATCGTCACTGTTGATTAAAATCCACTCCAGACCCTCTCTGACAATGGCTAAAAAGTTTTATGGGGGAAATTTTACAAGAGACTGTTTAGTAAACCGTTGTTACCTTTTTCATTAATTAGGCATTTGAAAAGACCCTATTGAACTTCCGTAAACTGTGCGAAGATTGCAATAAATTTATAATGTCTCTTAATATTGAAAAACGATGTGCATCATACCTCATATGCATCAAATAATGCAACAAGATTTGTGGACAAACACGTCAATCGATCGTTATCAAATTGCACGTGTTTTGGGCTTTTTAGCATTTCCCCTACATGACGTCATAAATTTTATGGTTGAGTAATTCTGAATACTGATTTTGATGCATAGTAACTAAATTTCCCATCTGACCAATTTTCGTAATTTTTGGTCATGTGGTCAAATTTTTATCGACAATTATGCTACCCTGCGTTTTTTTTTCTTTCAGTTTATATGTATTACTGGCTACAAAATGTGATCTTTATCCTGTATCTTTGTCAGCGATGCACAGGACGTTCCAGAGGGATTTGTATCTACTGAGGTTGAACACACTGAGGGAGTATGCCAAATCCCTAGACAACAGCATGAATCCCATCTCATCTGATCCCACCGAGCCTCTCAAACTCAATGCTCAGGTTTGTATTGTGTTATAGTACAAGTGATCTCATCTGATTTCACCGAGCCACTCAATCTCAATGCTCAGGTCTGTAGCATATCAGTACATGTGATCTCTACATGTACACATCTCATAGCATTTTACATATATAAAAAAGGTGTACAGATTAATATTCTTACTGAGCAGCAAAAAATAAGATTCTCAGGGGCATTTCCAAATATTCATAGAAAGAAGAATGAATATATTCTGAGGCTAATAAATGTTTAACATTACAAATCAATTCAATTCCAAATAATTGAATTTTAGTTGTAACACATCATTTGATTGGGTCAACAATTTAATCCATTTTAATATAATTTAATTCTGGTTGTAACGCTGTATTTAATTGGATAAAAAAATTTTTTCATATCGTATAAAATGGGTTGCCTACGTCACAATGACTTACGTCAAAAATGTATCAATCTGCCTGACGTTACATTAAAATTTTGCACAAATTGAAGTAATTTTTTTAAAACAATCATCTTTTTTTCTTACATCAAATGAATGAAAATTGTCTTATTGTCTACACTGAAATTAAATTACAAGGAATGAAGCTTATTTCAACTTATATTATATGATGTAACAATACTTGCGATTTATAAAGCGTAAACTGCCCCAAGTTATGTTTTATCGTAATATAATAATAAAAGTTGAAATAATTCAGCTTCATTCCTTAAACATTTATGTGGTTATATTTGTATGAACTTGTTACTTTCAGGTCCAAGGAATCGGTCCTACCTTCAAACTAACAGTCAATCTACAGAACACGTCACTCAGTCAGCCCTCCACCAGTCTACTGATTACATTCTTATATGACGAGAAACTGTACTCCTTCAAAAAATCCTTCATTGAGGTCTGTATTCTACCATTGTTACAACCACTATTGAAATAATGACCTTTATTGAAATAACTATATCAATAGTGGTTGAGAGTACATTTCAATAACGAACATAGGTAATAACCACTATTGAAATACAACCACTATTGAAATAATTATATCAATAGTGGTTGAGATTGCATTTCAATAACAAACGTAAGTAATAACCACTATTGAAATACAACCACTATTGAAATAATTATATTAATAGTGGTTAAGAGTGCATTTCAATAACAAACATAGGTAATAACCACTATTGAAATACAACCACTATTGAAATTATTATATCAATAATGGTTGAGAGTGCATTTCAATAACGAACAAAGGTAAAAACCACTATTGAAATAACTATATCAATAGTGGTTGAGAGTGCATTTCAATAACAAACATAGGTAATAACCACTATTGAAATACAACCACTATTGAAATAATTATATCAATAGTGGTTGAGAGTGCATTTCAATAATAAGCATAGGTAATAATCACTATTGAAATACAACCACTATTGAAATAATTATATCAATAGTGGTTGAGAGTGCATTTCAATAACGAACATAGGTAATAAACACTATTGAAATACGACCACTATTGAAATAGTGGTTGAGAGTGCATTTCAATAACAAACATAGATAGTCATATAACCACTATTGAAATATGACTGCTATTGAAATAGTTATTTCAATAGTGAGTGAGATTCATTTCAATAACAAACATAGGTTGCAACCTCTATTGAAATAATGTTCTCTTTTGAAATAAAGATTTAAATATGGATTAAATTATTGATTTTAATAGTGCATTGAACAATGAATCCAATATATATTGAAATAATTGTTTCAAATGTTTCTGATGCGGTGAAACTTTTCTTTTAATATTGGTAGTATTTTAATAGTGGTTGAAACCTATGATTACCATATTGAAATGCACTGTCACCCACTATAAAATAATTATTTTAGTTGTGCTCGTATTTCAATAGTGGTTGAAACCTATGGTTATTATATTGAAATGCACTCTCAACTACTATTGATATAATTATTTCAATTGTGGTTGTATTTTAATAGTGGTTACTAACTATGTTTGTTATTGAAATGCACTCTCAACCACTATTGATATAATTATTTCAATAGTGGTCGTATTTTAATAGTGGTTACTAACTATGTTATTGAAATGCACTCTCAACCACTATTGATATAATTATTTCAATAGTGGTCGTTATTTCAATAGTGGTTGCAACATACCATAATTTTCATTTCAAAATAAGATCTTAATAAGAAATTTTATTTTTTGTTGTAAAATAACAATGTTTGATGAGAGGAAATCTACATTTTTTTTATACTAAATTCTCTTATTGATTATCAGGTGCCTATGCTGGTTCCCGGCCTGAACTATGCCTTTGAGACGTTTGTTGAATGTTTGAGTGACAAAGGGGTCTCAGACAATATCAAGGTATGGTGACAAAAATTTATTTAGATTTATAAAACAAATTACCTGAGAGCATACCGTAATTAGGGGAGTACAATACACAATTTTTTCCTAAAATAAATTTCTGTGAGAAAGGGATGCGTATTTTACATCACAATGGGATTTTGACAAGTTTTTCTTTCAGGTGCAACACGGCTATCATACGTACATACCGTAGTAATACCTAGAGACATATGCAATTTCTTTTGTTAATTGACATATTTTAAACTTCGGTAAGTTATTGTTGGAAGGTATGCTTCTTAAAAATGTCACTTTCATAATCTTTTTATGCCCAAATAACATGAAAAAGTAAGTTAAAAGTAATTTGAGCTGCATGTTGATTGTCTCCGAGGAGGGGTCTCAGACAATATCAAGGTATGGTGACAAAAATTTATTTAGATTTATAAAACAAATTACCTGAGAGCATATTCTTTAAAAAAAATCTGTTAATACGTTTACGCAACATTATCTTGTGCTTTGTTGAAATAAATGAATAAATAATTTTCTCCAGATTGCCGCGATACGGAATGTCAGGATTAAGAGAAAGTTATAAAGTGTGTATTTTTAAAAAAGTGTGTTCAGTAAATTTTTGACACCTAATCCTCGCGCCGATTTTCGTAACAAATTACCGTGATTTTCATAGTTCAGAACATCGCTTGGTAAATTTTTCTGTTGCGTATAATACATCCGAACTGCGTTTTTTTCCTCAGTTTCAGACTCAAAAAGGGGGGTGCGTATTTTACATCAATGCGTATTATACTCGGCCAAATACGGTATGACAGGTGTGGAGCCAATAATCTGTACATAGAGCATATGGTAGTTACCACTCAACAGATCTAAAGGATGCTTACTTCTCAATGGCACCTGATCCCACCTTTGATGTATTAAGATGTCTGTGTTTGCTCTGCTCGCATTTCAAGTCACAGAGCTTCATTACTGAATGTTATCATCATATTTCATCATGATTAGATGCCTACATGGTATATCCATCTTTCTGTTTAAATTTTGAATGTTTATGAGTCATATTATTTTAAAATATTTCAATATCTTCAAATTTTATTAGAAGTCAAATCTTAAAGTGTTTCAAAAGAATTGCAAGAAACCTTGTATAGCTACATTTATGACCTGTTTTGGTCAGGCATTTGTTTTGAAGGAAGGTTCCCAGGTCCTTATAATCACTGGGGTAATTAGCATGCCCTGCACTGATGTGGAACCCGTGTCTAAAGTCTGCAACAAGAACGAGGATCTCTTTGAATAAACAGTAAAGACTGCATAACTAAACAGCATGTCAATAGAAATAATATTGTAACTCAGATACTGAAGAGTTGATGCATGTAGTATTGACAGTAACATGAGGTATATACTACATTTAGTGATATTAAGCAGAATAGGTTAAAAATGACTAAGAAATGACAATATTAATTTTAAAAAAAACATGAACAAAATTATTTAGGTACTGAGAGAATGCATGCTGATCTCTGCCAGACCTAGTATACACTGATTTCCTAGAAATAACCTTACTTTACCTAAACAGTTGTGTGTTATAATCTATGCAAACAGCTGCGTGTTCTAATCTATGCAAAACAAAAAGAAAATTAACATTTTCATCCTTGAGGAAACCATTTTTTAATTAAGTTCTTCCTTATTCTTCAAAGAAGAGTTAGATGTATTTCTGTTAATGTTTAAATAACTTATTGGAATCTTAACTGGAATTATTGAAAAGCTGCTAAGTTAAAATTTTTTGGGTTTGTTGCAGTAAATTTGCTGTGTATTCAGCAAATTTTTGCAGGTAGGCAGTATACATGTATTTTTGTTAGATAGTTTAGAGTTCTCCCAAAGATCGGATGATCCCCCAAGACAATCTGAAGAAAAACACAAGTTTTTGGGGTATTTAGTTAAGTAGGAAAAAGTATTTTTCATTGCTTTCTGTTACTAAATGTAATTAACAATGTGTATCAAGTGTAAGATGAATTATTTCTTTGTGTGTTTGTTAGTAACTTATACTTTTTGTATTATTACAGGTATTTGTCTTGAAGGACGGGAAGAGTGTTCCCATCATTACAGGCGTCATCAGCATGCCCGTCAGCGAGGGATTGGTGGTGGTGTGAGGTCAACAGAGGTCAACTAAGGTCATACACCTACACCCACGCCAAACTAATTTTTCTCTTTAGGTGTGAATTTCAGACAGTGAAGAAACATTTTGTGAATTGTAAAATTGAACTTTTATTAAATGATGGAAATATTAATGAACATTGAAATGAACTGTTTATGTGCAATGATAAAATATTGAGATACTGAATTTGTAATATTTATTGTTTTAAGGCCGAATGTAAACTTACCTTATTGATTTGAGTGACAACAAATGATATTTGTTTGGGGTTTTTTGTAGTTTTTTTTTCAGTATTCCGTCCATATGACTTTTTTTTGTTACTCTATTGTGCTCAAGAAATAAATAAATAAGAAACCAGTAAAGATTGTTCATATTTTGCATTCATTTTGTAAAATAAATACACTATTTTCCTTTGCACAATTAAAATTTAACATTTATTTCTTGTCCATTTTATGTTTGCGTGTTAAATAAATCTGACTAGTGCATCAAGTCTCAATGTAGTCTAAAAATAAAGAATCTAGGTAGCTCATGTTCCACAAGATTTAGGTAACAACAAAGTTTTAGGATCTAGTGCAACTTGCAAGCATTGTGGGCATGAACTTAACAAACAAACATGAATGATATAATTTCTGAAACTTTTTCTGATTGTGTTTTCAGATAAATTAAAAAGAAACATAGAGGATGATATTTTCAAATAAAATATTTGTAAATCCAATATTCTATTTCGCCGGATGAATTGAAAATTGTTTGGTTTTAGAGACATGAGGAGATCTTAGTAGTCAATCAATATTTTAGAATCAACTTTTAAACAAATTAAATTAAAATATGAAAAATCAAACGGTAATTTAACTCAAAAGTCTAATGAATCAATACAAATCAGGGGCAGAATAATAATGAACCTTTAAAACATCAAAGATGGGATCAGGTGGCATGGAGGAGTAAGTAACCCTTTTCATCTGCCTCACTCACCATGTGTTTCTTGTCAAACGGGAATTAAACGGGAAAACATATGTTGACAATTCATTGAGTACATAATGGCCTAACAATCAGCATAAAAACCTCAGCCAGCTCATTACTTAAGGTCAGATGACACGTTCCTCAAATTATAATATATTTTGTATCTCTTGGTATTATATTAAAACTTATTCTTATTCGTCATTCTCTCCTGATTTCTACATTGTTTTCATAATGTTTTTGAATAAAACTGTATAAGAAACACCAAAATTGTGATAAAGGCAATTCAGAAAATTACCCATAAGTGTTATATTAGAAGTATGACCCTCTGGTATCTTGTCCAAATGCCTGGTAAGGTACCCTAATTTTTTTGTGAGGAAACCTGTAAAAGCATGTATACATGTATACTTCAATGACGAATTCTTGGGAAAAATTATTTATTTTTGAGGAAAGTGTCGTCTGACCCTAATGATAGATTGTATTAAATTCTGCATAAAGGGTCATTGTGTAGACCATAAAAATTACATAAGTTTTACGATGAGTTTTAACAAGACTGTCACTGCTGTTTTTTTTTGTTTCGTGTATTTGTTTGTCTATAGCTTCCTTATTTGTTTATCTATAGCTTGCCTTGAGTGTCAATAGAAATTGTTCGCATGTAGAACATCAAATCAACTTGTAGATATCATCCCCAGATGTCCATGGTAAGGATATATGTCTACGAGGGTCGTTCAATAAATAATGCAACATGTCATCTAAAAGTAAGAAAAGTACGTAATACATATTCTTAATAGTTTCAATCCCTAAATGCATTCCCTGTTACCAGTAACATGTGTCTTAAGTCTTTGAATCCATGAACATATATCCTCAGCATACTTATCTTTAGGGATACCCCAAAGCCACTGAGAAATATCATTTCCCATGGCATATCTAACATTGTAAAATCTTCCTTTGATTGTTTTCATGTGTTTTGGGGACGAAAAGATCTCACAGTGGCTGCAATTAAACTAATTTGGGTCATTGAAAAGCCCTGTATACTTTCTATTTTTCAAAATTTTATTTTTTCTTTAAGAGTATATCCAGCTGCGTTGTTAAGCACAGAAAAAATACCATGGTCACCGAATTTTGGACTTCCTTTGCAAAAAATCTGTTCAACTTTCCTTTATGCGATTTGAAGATAAAACTTACTATTGCTAGTCCTTCATTTGGATGTATGTTCATGTTTTAATGGACTTCCATAGATACGTGAAAACTAATAAAACATGTTTGCAGCCATTACTTCTCTTTATCCTAATTAAATGACACCCTTTTCTTTGATTCCTCATTTTTTATCATTAATCATATTTTACGACTATAATAAGAGCACCAATGTTTCGTCATACATTAAGCAAGTTTATCAATTCTTCAATTTTGTTTAAAAATGTGTTTTTAAGTAAAACGTATGCACATTTAACGAATGTTCTCTCTTGCACTTTTGTGAGAAAATAAGGCACCTATCTGATTGAAATATTGTTATATGTTGTTCCTTTGTTTGAATTCTACAAAATGCTGTGACGATTTAATGTTAAGTATTCTAACAATGTCTTTCCATGTAAAAATAGCATTTTCAAATTACATGTTGCACATAAAGTCGATATTTTGTGATGTTCCCACAAATTTCAATTGACCATATTATGTTATATTTGAACCCTTGTTTTTTTTCTTCTGAATTATTGAATCCATCTGAAAAGTATACAGCCTTAAAGATTATTTTTTCCACTTATAAAAATTTTATCTTAAATATGAGGTTTGTGGCGATTGATGTAAAAAGCGCAGTTTTCAAATACGCACTTATTTTCATCTTCTTGGCAGAGATCATTTATAAACAGTTTTCAGCTCAGTGTAGTGACCATGCTTAGTTTAAAAATGAATTTCTTTGCAAAGTCACTATGAAAATTCGTGGGGTTTTCTGGATTTAGTTGATCTTAAATAGAACTTTTCAAATATGAAAAAATAAAATCAAATGCCCAAACATTTATTACGATACACTGAGTATTGCGTTACTTTTTGAACGACCCTCGTACATAAGGAATGGGAGTTTAAGACGTCGTGTTTATTATAAAGTTTTGTTGCTACGTTACCATTATCTCATGTACTCGTACAAGCACATTTTTTGCAATAAGGAGAGGGATTCCGCCCCTGTTGTATAGTTTTTGCTCATCTCAACCAAGTTTGGGAACCTACGTCAAACAGTCGGCGTCCCAGGTTAAGGTTTTTGGAGCAGTTGTCTTTTAAGTACTTCTATGTCCTACATTCATGAGACATGCATGGAAGAAGGATATGGAGATAATGAACAGTATGGAATCTCGAAGTCCATAAATACAAAGTAAGAGCAGAGCAAACACGGACCCCCAAAACATCAGAGGTGGGATCAGGTGCCATGGCGGAGTGAGCATCCCCTGCCGACCGGACACACCCGCTCGTTATCATGATCAGGAAATAATGGGTGAAAAAATCCGTCGTCAATCCAGTGTATAAATAATGGACTAACAATTGGTATGAAAAACGTCAGTCAGCATTTGACTCAATGATAAATTGTATTTGCTGACAAGATCAATGTATCGACCATAGAACTTACAAAATGATTACTTTAAACGAGACTGCTGATATTCTTGTTTCATCAACTTGCTTGTCAATAATTTACCTCTGTTTAGAAAGTGTTTATACGTAGAGCATGCTCTTGCCTATCGAATCAACTGAGATATATATATACTCCGTATGCAGGTGATGAAGGTATATTGCTGCATAAGGACTCTATGGTATCTTTTATCTCAAGCTCACCAGGATATATCGTATCGACGTACGTATGAATGGAAATTATCATTATTACAGTGTAGTTGACAATACGTCGTCTATATATATAAATGTCAAGTTGAAGGCCACAGCAAGTGTTTTCTTCTTTTCACGCATAAGATTTTGAATAAATTCTGCTTCATATGAATATAAAAATAAGTCTGCTAATAACGGAGCGCAATTTGTACCCATGGGAATTCCAATAGATTTTTTGAATACCTGTTCTCCAGAAAGACGCTTCTAAAGTGTTTCATTGTTCCAAATAAGATTTCAGTTGCTGCAATTTCAACAAAGGTATGATTAGGTTTATGTTATTGAATCGGGATAAAATTTTTGCAATGATGATAATCTGGCGATACATACTATTAGGTTTGCCTGGGATGCTGTATCTTACCTACATATTTCAGATGAGTAAACATGTCAAAGGTTTTGGTGTAGGTCTCATTTCTAAGTAATCGTGAGCTCTATGACGGCCAAATTTGCATGGAAGAGACATTTATAAATGCATATTACGAGGCTTTCTTTGGATGCTGGACGGAAAGTTTTTGGTACAGATTTAAATTTTCGGTGTAGGTCTAATTTCCAAATTGCAAACTAATTTTAAGCCCTATATTGACCAGGCTTACATGGATGATACATCTAAGGGTGCATACAATCTGTCTTGCTTAGTGTGCTGGATCTGACCTACATTTTATGGATGGGTGAGCATGCAGATATCCATGTTTTTCCAGATATCTGTGTTGGAGAAAACAAAGTTTCACTGTATGTTATAAAGCTCATGAATTGATCCCTTAGCAGTCTTAGCGCGTTACAGCAAGAGGAAGTAAACCTTTCAAGTGAATTTTATTTTGTGGGAGCTGAAAATATGATTTCTCTCTATACTTTATGTTTTAATTTAAATAAACTGCGAACAAAAGGTTATTGAAGATCTCTTAAAGTTCTGCTATTTAGAGTAAGAGGTTGTGAACAGTAAAGTTACTGGGAAGTATGACGACTATGGAGGTGTAATTACAAGAGTAAGGGCTTTAAGGCGGTGATAGTGGCTCTCAATAACTGTCAGGTCCACATCTACAAGGAAAAGTACCTCGTCAACGTCATCAAGACGGACTACGTCGTCAAGGGGCTCAAGTTCGGACAGTTTGGCCGAGAGGAGGGAACTCTCATAATGACCCTAAATGGTAAGTAGCTATTGAGTATCTCAGCTGGGTTTGTAATAGTAAGTGCAACAAATGGGAGAAAAAGCCACTTGCCATTCAAGTTTCCTTGGCAATACCAGAAAAAGTTCACACTGAAGAAAAATAACTCAACATGCTTTTTATCAAAATTACTTTAGAGTAGATCAAATATGCCCTTACGTTTTAGACTCAATTATGATATTGTAACTAACCTAGTCTTAGTAGGCTAGATTGAAGTTAAAATGTACATAAAGGTTTTTGATCATATCAAGTAATAAATACAGCAGCACTGACCCTTGAAGTACACCATTAAACATGTTACTTTTATATTAATAGAAAATAGAATTTTTCTTGAAATGGGGCTTCAGTCATTAGGCTAGCTTTGTTGAATGTTAACTTTGAAATTCATTTTTTCTGTTTGTGAAATCAAGTTTCGACTTTTTTGTATGATACTCCATTCCTCTTTCTCTAGGTGGTGGGTTGATGATTAAGATTCTGAAGAGGAATGCGACGTTTGAGGAGAAGGATTTGTCTGGGGGTCCCCCCCCGCCGCCGCTCAGAACTCTCGCCTCAACGTCCCGAAGAAAACCAAGCTGTTTGTGGACCAGACCATGAGGGAGAGAGAGAGTGCAGTCAGTATGTATCATGATTTCTCAGTAAGAGGGTATACATTAGATCACTAAATTTTCCCATCACATCATTTTGAGAAGATTTACTATTTATAAGCAAAACAAATTTTTCAAAGTCATTTTCATTTATATTTCTTATGACAAAACTTTTTTGGAGGGTACTCACATTTTTGTCCTCATAACCTTGACCTTGGTGTTTGATCTACCAGTATAGAATTTAAACATTGACCATAACTTTTGAACATTTTTTAGTAGGTTTTTTTTTTCATTTGTGTGTATTTCATGACAAGACCTAAAAATTCTTTGAGTACCAAAAATTTATAACCTTGAATTTCTGGTTTGACCTGTTTTTGAAAAACACTTTAATTTTGGCCATAACTTTTGAACATTTGTTGGTAGGGGTTTTATATTACTTTTGTGTTGTCTATAATTCTTGTGGCAAGGACTTTCTTTGGGTATAAGCATTTTTTACTCTGATTGAGTTTATCATCAATGTACTTTTGATAAATATGCCATATGGGGCATCTATGTTTTACAAACACGTCAGTGGTTTGTCTTTTATTATCTGTAAACCTTTTATAGAAGATACTTCTTTTCTGGACAGGGTGTTGCATATGTGTGCTTGAGTAAGGATTGCAATTGCTACCCACTTAAGGGGAGACAGGGCACATGTCACATGACTAAAAAGACAGATTACGTCATAGTCGATGCTGATGTACATGTTAAACGTTAAAATCAACAGTTCTTGTGAAAAATTATTCTAAAATTGTTTTTTAAACATTTAATTTTGGAAATTAATATTTAAAATTTTAAAAGATCTTTCCAGCATTTAGATATTATGAAATTGCCAAATCCACACATTCGTTTCTCTTTACCTTGCAGTCTGACGTCAGTAACGTCATAGACGTAGTGTTTGAATTCTCAGTGTAGTGAAATCAAGTACACACAGTAACTACATCCGTTATGATCATGCTAAACAGGTCACAGTCAATGTATCATGATGAATTTCTGAAGCAGATTTTTTAAATTAATATTTTTTCATGTTTAATAGCAGAGATTCTCTCTATTTAGATAATTTTGAATGTTTATGTTTTCGTGTGATGTCACAATTGATTTCCCGCACTGAGAAAATGCAAACATGAAGCGTTTTTATCATGCTTACGTCTAATTCAACAATATCCTGTGCGATATTGAAGTAAGCTTCAACTTTCGATATTTATGCAGTTAATTATTATGATGAAGGACTGACAATCAATCGTAAATTTAGAAATATTTATTGACAGACTTTTTCAAAAATGAGGTTTTAGTTGTTGAAGCTGCCTTGAAAAATGCAGAAATTATCCCACCCATATACTATATGAAATTAAAACAAATGCTTTCAGATAATTTAAACACTATAAATATTCTCAAATATTTGAGTATATAGTGTTATCTAACTCATTTATTATTTGTGCAAAAAAATTCGCATGATGGACTCCGTTATAGGCCCGTAAACATGAAGTATCTAAACTCCATACAAACTCTATACAGGGCGGTATTTGTGAGGCGATATCTTTTTAATAAGTCAAAAAATCCCATGATAGGACTGTTTTAAAATGTTAAGTACGTATTAAATTAGTAATTTAAAAAATACGAAAAAAATTCATTGACAGAATTTTTTCCTCCTTAAATTGGTTTTGTGCTTTTTCACTAAATGCATGTGATATTGAGCTGATGTTTGGTATGTGAGTGTATCCTGATGAGTTACATTTTCATTTTGCTTCATTGATTTTGACAGCACACTGTATTACAATCTTTTAATTTTAAAGGGTTTTCAGCATTTTTTTTCCAAATGCTTGCAAATATTGAGCTGATTTCTGGTATGTGACTTTACCTTGATGAGTTATATATCAAGTTTGCATTTTGTTCCACTTCAAATATTATTTTTGGAATTATGGCATTTTTCAATTTTAATTAGGAACTAGATTACACCTGCTGTTAGGGGACTGGTATTGCTAAGGCAATACTGTGAGAGTGCTTGTTTCTTACATTTACTTAACCATCTAGGTTCTTCATTTATTGTGACAGTTTAAACTTACATAAATATTTCTCTTGTCAACATTGACATCACGTACTGTGTATCAGTTTTTATCCTGCAACTACCCCTTGCATTGACCTAATAAAGGTAACCTAATAAACCAAAGCTTTATCCGGTCACTGCCCTAATAAAGCCTCTTGCATGTATTCCGACGCTCTAAAAGCATTGTGACGTCATATATATATTGCAATGTTTACGCCATGGCGTCATAGTTATAACTGCAGAGATGTGCCTAAATATGTCAAAAAATAGCTACTTTTGGATGTTCAAATGTAAAGAATATGTTGCAGGATAAACAAAATACATGGAAACTCACAGTCTTGAAATATAAGTGATATTTGGGCTCGGGTCGAAAACGTAAGAGGGCTCGGCAAGCCTCGCCCTCTATCACGTTTTCTTACCCTCGCCCAAATATCGCTTATATTTCAAGACAGTAACCATGTATTTTATATAAATACACCTGGGTGTCTTCAAGATTTTCATGTACTGTTTGATTGTTAGTATCTCAGTAAAAATTTTTATCCATGGTTATACTTTTTCATTGCAAAAGTTTTATTTTTTTCACTTTCCCTTCGTGATTTTCAGCAACAAACAGATTGTCATTTGTATCTGTACAAAGTCCTATTGGATTATTTAATCCACAGTTTATGTACCGGAGGAACTGTCCATCCTGGTCTATGATGTGAACACAGTCATCGTTACGATCAGCTGTAAGGATGTGACTCTGACTGTTTTTGGTGATTCCTCGTGGATAGAATGGTAGGTTCTTTGGAGTTGGAGTATGTCCAGTGTACCTGAATCTCAGTTTCCCGGCCTGATTGACCACCACTACTGCTTTAGCTCCCCAGTCAGACACACAGATATCCAGGTTCCTGTTCTCAGTTATGTAATCAGAATTAAATGAATAAAGAGGTTTATCTTGATCATCAAACTGAATGGTTTGTTTCTCTGTGGAGCCAGAGTAACAGACAACTTTTGTTTGTTTGTTATCATCACTGATCATGATAACCAGAAGGTCACCAGAGGAAGTACTACAGACACCGCGAGGTTTCCAGTTCTGTAATCTGATCACCTCATCTATCTTCTCATTCTTCACAATGATCACAGTTTTATCATTGTAATCAGTATAAACTAGATCTCCACTTTTTGTCATGGCTATATTCAATGGATTGTTCCCTGACTTGGTTCGGATTGACTTGAGTGGTGATCCCTGATTGATGCTGTAGAGTTTCATGGTGCTGCCATTTCCACTCGTCCAGATTTCTTCATCACTCACACAGGCCACATTGTAAAGTTGTCCATACCCAGTGTCTGTGGTGGAGGCAGTCTCTGGTTTATCAAGCAGCTGTTTGACTGGAGGAGAGGATCCAGCTTCTGGTGATTTCTGTGTTGTCTTCATGCTGTAGCCATGTTTATCTGAAGTTAATGAACTTGATGATAAGGTTCCAAACAGATTACTAATATCTCCTCCTTGCTTTCTGCCTTGTGTAAAGAACTATATGCGGTATTAACCAACATTTGCCCCCCAAAATCAAACTTTGATGGAGTAATATTTAATTAAGTCCTTAAACAGGGGAGTATATGCTGACTTCAAAGCACTGAATAATTTTATAAGTAATGACGTCATATGTACGTAATGACGTCACAAATATGACGTAAATTTCAGTTTTTTATGAATTTTGCAGAAAAATGTACATATTTCGTCGATATTTTAAATAAAAGTCACCGAGCGCATGTGTGTTCAGGATAAATATTTTGATACAATGTGTAGAATGATAATATCAATGAAATATGTCAATATTGTTCCTGAACACACATGCGCTCTATAAATTTTAAAGCTTAAATTGTTGAAATTTTGTCCATTTTGCCCTCTTTCTGAAAAAGAATATAAAATCGGACTAGTTTGTGACGTCATAAAAACAGAAATTGTGAATACACTGCTCTGGAACTATAATATTTTCTGTTAATTTATATTTCTCGTACAATTTATTGAATTCAGCACATTTCAGGAAGTTTTCAAAATTTGACTTTGGGGGGGGGGGGGGGGGGGGCAAATATATGTAATATACCGCATATAGTTCTTTTGGTAAAGATGGAAGAATTTTTTCAGGTAGATTTTTATATCTTTCTATATTAACAGATTTTAAATTAAAAAGCTTTGAAACTTCATTAGACTCTCAACAGTACAGGATGTATTGATTTCATCCTTGATGCCAGACATTGTCTTGTTTATTTCATCCAGTTTTTTCTGTAGAGTTTGTACCCAGGTAACACAACAACGTTATTAAAACGTTATAAAAACGTTTTCAAAATGTTATAAAAACATTTTCTAAAACGTTATTACAACGTTATTTTGTATGGTTTTTTAAACGTTATCATAACGTTTTTCAAAATCATTTTCCTGCAATGTTTTGAAAACATTTTTGAAAACGTTTTCAAAACGTTTTTGAAAACGTTTTCAGAACATTTCTTATATGTTTTAAATCGTTTAAAAATATTTTACAACATAAAAATCATTGTACTTCCTACAGTTTTAATTAGTTCAGATTTTTTACACAAATATAATCCATGAACTGTTGTAAACATCCGCACAGTCAATAAAAGTCTTCTTAACAGAAAAGATTTGTCACAATTGAAATTTAAAACAAAAAATCACAATATCTTCCTTTGAAAATCATGTTTGGCACTTTTGGCATTTGGATCACTTGGACTTCTTTGTTTTAATTCTTCTGAAAAACAAAGATTTAGAGAAAAACTTTAATTAACAAAATGAATGATCATTCTCGCAAATCATTTTCGTAAAATACATATATACATGTATATCCATGCATTAGAAGAATTAAAACTATATATAGCATACATCCGATAAATACAAGGAAAGTCTAAAATTATTTATAAAAAAAAAAATAAACTTTGTTGTTGTTTTTTTTTGACAACAGTGTGTTTTGGGCAAAAGTTCTATAAAATATATATTGTATACTAAATAAATCTATCTCTGTAGTACATTCTTGTCAGGAAACTTCAAACATACCTTAAAGAAAAAATACCCTGGTAAATCCCTCCAGCATGGTGTGCCTAAGCAAACCTTATTATGTCAAATTCCTCTCACTACATGTGATCTTTTAAAAGGTATATTTAGTCTTTGCAAACAGCCGCTGTAAATGAAATATGATATTTATTTCCAAGAATTGTAAATTGTGAATATATACATGATATTGAATATAAATACAAATCATTTAACATTTTCAAAGAAGTATTTAACTTGATAAGCCCCCCCCCCCCACACACACACACACACTTACACACACTCCCCCTCGCAAACATACTCGATTGTGATTTTCATATAGAAAATTCATATCATTTTTTCTTCGAATGCCCATGTTATGATGAGCAAAGAAACACTCTTTTTCACTGTATATCTAGTATAGACCTACAAAATCCTATTCCTATTTCCCTAAATCTTTTATTATTTGGTGATAGTAGTATTTCATATGCAAAAAATATGAAATTATTTGATTGTGTTCACAATTATATATCACAAACCAAAAGGTTTCATAAATGAAGTGTAACTATGTAATACTTATTCCAGTTTATGTCTTAAATTAAATACACATTCATTGTATGTTTATAAATTGCTGTAGTTCTCATTTTTTCGATTCAGTTCATTTCCACATTTATAAACCGGTATTCATTTGTTGTTGTTTTTTTTCTTTTTCTATCTTTACTCATGTATCTTTCTTTCCCCTATGTTCTATTTAAAGTTGTGTCAGCTATATATAACTTATTGGTCATATATAAACCTGTTACTATATGTGTATTAATTAACCTTGTACCTTTGGAGAGGGCTCATATAGGCTATGCCTGCTGCCCAATCCAATTATGTATCTTACATAATAAAATATGTTCAAATCAAATCAAACATACTCGATCTATTCAAATCATGTTTTGAAGCTCTAAATTTTAAAATTTATCTCTTAGCCTGGGGTTATTATACTACACATGATTGACATGAAGTACACATTAATAAAGAAAACTCACACTAGACACAAGTCATAAAACATTTATGTAAATGCACAATCATGATAAACTTAGATGATCAGTTTACTTCAAAAACAACAAATTACCCGCCCAGTTCAAATATCAGTGAAATGTTCAACCATTTACAAGGAATGATTTAGGCTTATACATACACTTACTACTATAATACAATTTCTTAATATATGTATACATATTGAATATTACTTAAAATTCAACATATCATACGATGATGTAAAATATTACCTTAATCCTGTTCTTTGTCTTTCAAAATGCTGCCCGGTTTTTCAAAATCTTGATAATTTGACCTATATAGATCACGTGGAAATAGTTTGCAGCAAGGAGCGAGCGCTAACCACGGCATCCCGCTGTGCGACTCAATTAACTTTTGATAAACACATTATCAAGGAGGAAACAACACAAGTGAAAAAAAAATGCACTTTACTTTGTTGAACTACATCACATCTTAGAAAAATACATTAAAAACGGCTTTTAATACAGTTTTTTCACAATGTTTTAGGAATGTGGCATAAAACAATTAAAGAAGAACTGAATTTAATGAAAAAAAAAAATTTGTCCAACCCCCCCCCCCCCCTCAATATGCTTTAAAAGACATCCCCAAGTAATCAATAACAAACAAACAAAAAAGTAAATGCTAAATCAGTAAATGTATTTTTTTTAGAAATGAATTATATAGATGTTTGTTGTTTCTATAACGTTTTAACAATGTTTTCCAAACATTTTAAAACAATGTTATATTCATGTTTTCTGGTAACATTTGTACCTAGAATTAATTACAATTTTAATTCAATTTAATTTTTTTTTAAATTTGAGTAAACACAATACACCACATACTGTGCAATATATTCTTAATATCATACTGTAGTTTTTAAGAATATTTTTCCCCCAAACAATGGAATGTGAAAACACTTTTTACTATGCTTTTTAAGTAATAAAAATTATTCCTAATATCATTACATGTAAAAATGTTATGCAAAAATGTTTTAAAAAAACTTCCTTCCAACCAGTATCAAACGTTATGAAAAACATTTTAAAAATGTTTTTGAGAAACGTTTTCTAAAATCGTCATTATAACCTATACAAAACGTTATAAAAACATTTTTCAAACGTTATGTCAAAAACGTTTTGGAATAACATCCTGACAACCCGAATATAATGTTATGAAAACGTTTTGTGCTACCTGGGTAACTGTGTGTTTTTCATCTCATCAACTTCAGCTTTAAGTTTCTGGACAAGTTTGTCAATTTCTCTGAGCAAGTCCTCTCCATGTTTTGTTATGGCTGTTGATAGATCTCCATATTCTTTTTCTAACTGACTCATTTTGTTTTGTACATCAGAGGCAATGTCCTGGTAGGTGGGATAAATTGTCTCGCGTAATTCACTTTGTTCTTTGATAATTTTATCCTTTTTTTCATTTACAACATTTAAGATGTCAGAAAATTTATGACCTAGATGTTGATCAGAAGTAAGGCACTCTGAACAAACAGAAAGTTCACATTGTTTACAGTACAATATACATTGATTGTTATGCAAAATACATGAAGGGTAGAGGGGAGTGGATTTCCTGGCCTGAAATTTGACGACTTTGTGGTCCTTGGATTCATCAGAAATCATGTGTTCTCCTACACAAGCTGTACACAGGTTGACAAGACATGTATCACAGTGCATCTGTACCACAGCGGTCTCACACAGGTCACATCGCATCACATCCTGGGCACTGGTACGAGGGTCCATGATTTAATAAACCTAGCATGGAAAAAAAGGCATTTCATAAAACATTTTGATATCACTTCAATAAAATAAACAGTGCCAAAAAAATTACCAGTGATCAATAATTTCTCATTTCTCAGGCATTGCTGCATCAGGACAAAATCTACCACATGAATCATTGAAAAGGGAAATGACTCAAATTTCTAGATTTCAAAGTTAAAAAAAAATTTAATTACATGTATTCACCTTTTCACAGGTGCTTAGATTTTTGTTCTTATAAGTAAACAATATATTTCTTGTTAATTTATAGTATTTAATGCATTAAATTTAAAATAAATGTTTGGAATAAAAATTGCAAATCTTTAATACATATTTTATTTAATGAGAACAAAAATTTAGAATAAGTTGATATCATCAATGTTGCCTGCATGGTGCAGTGGTTAGAACGTCTTACTCCAGAGTTGCAAAGTAACGAGTAAACCCTTACATCGCAGGTTCAAATCTCACTGTGAGACATGGAGACCGCTCCTTTGGATGAGACTGCATATAAAGAGCTTAATTCGGTAATAACCAATATTTGCCCCCCAAATCAAACTTTGATGGAGATATATTTAATCAAGTTCGTAAACAGGGGAGTATATGCTGACTTCAAAGCACTGGATATTTTCATAAGTAATGACGCCATATGTACGTAATGACGTCACAAACATGACGTAAATTTCAGTTTTTTATGAATTTTACAGACAAATGTACATATTTCGTCGATATTTTGAGTAAAAGTCACCGAGTGCATGTGTGTTCAGGATCAATGTTTTGATATAATGCGTAGAATGATGATGTAAATGAAATATGTCAGTATTGTTCCTGAACAAACTTGCGCTCTATAAATTTTAAAGCTAAAATTGCTGAAATTTTGTCCATTTTGTCCTCTTTCTGAAAAAGGATATAAAATCGGACTGGTTTGTGACGTCATGAAAACAAAAATTGTGAATACACTGCTTTGACACTATAATATTTTCTGCATTTATATTTCTTATACGATTTATTTAAGTCAGCACATTTCAGGAAGTTTTCAAAATTTGACTTTTGTGGGGGCAAATATATGCAATATACCGCATATAGTTCTTTAACAGAGGTCCCTTGTCACAGTAGGTGCTGGCTGGCATGAAAAAGATCCCTCACTGCTCAATACGGCCGTGCATGAGTGTCGAGTTTAGGACAAAATTTGTAGCTCTCCATCGGCAAGTGGAGGCATTTCTATATGAGTGAAAAAATCTTGAAAGGGACGTAAACAACATACAAAATCAATCAGACGAGTCTTTTTGTTTGAACGTCTGACATGAAGAAAAAGGTATAACACCACCCCCCAAAAAAAAGAACTTTCCTGCCGCTAATGTATGAAGGGTGATCAAAATTTTTGCCAAACTAATTTAATAATTTCCATAAAAGAAACCAAATCAGGTTTTAGTGTTTTCTTCTGAAAAGTAAACTTCTCTTTTTATATTACATGTATACCATATATGTATACATGCCTCTGTTCCACCCATAGTGGAGACAGTCACATGATATGCTCCATCATAGCATACTCTTCACATCATCTCAAAGATTTTCCAATGTCCTACCCGGCATTTTTTCTCAAATATGTTATTTTGATAATAAGAATAATCCACGCATTGCAAAGTACTGAAACACAAGTCCCTGAGACAAGCCATTTTTTTAGCTTTAAATAATCCTTCTTTATGGGTATAGAATTCACATAAATATTAATTTGTAGACTAGTACATGAAGTTACAATGCATAATCATTTTTTATTCAGTTTATATATTTAAAAATTATCTTATTCTTATAAACAAGATTTATCAAATAAATTCATCCATGAATATTACCTGCAGATTATAATGGCACCTGTCTTGTCAAATACTTGTACAATGTCTATCTCTGATCTGTACAGGTATCACATGATCCACCTACCCGTGTTATCTACCTGTCAGATATATTTTACTTCCTGGTCTATGTGTACTGAGGATTTAAATTAGCACTCCTTTTCTTACTTGGCTGAATTCTTATTCATTGTTATTATAAACTACTAGTATCAAGATTACTTCTCTTAAGTACATATATTTTTTTAGCTGAAATTGATAATTAAAAGTGAACATTCAATATAATTTATTTTTAAAACTTATTAAAGTAGCCAGCTGCCTTGTTCATATAATTTACGTACTGAATTGATTAATGAAAATTTATTAGAAGGTCATTTCCCAAGGAATATACATGTGATGTAAGAGATCTTATTGTTATAACTGTTCAAAAGTAACTGCCAAGGTTATTTTTTTTTACCAAGAGGGTTTAACTCTAAGGCCAAGGTCGAAAGGTCAAAAATAGTTATACCAATTGAAAGGTCTTGTCACCATGAATACACATATGAAGTATGAACGCCCTAACCACCAACAGTTCAAAAGTTATGACAAAGTTTACTGGTTAAGGTTTGGTATTTTTTGTAAAAGAAGACCAAACTCCAAGGTCAAGAAATAATATTTGGTGGTACCAAAAAAAGGGCCTTTTCACGTGGAATACAAGGTCTGTGAAATATGAAAGCCATACCCAGTCCAAAATTATAGACAAGCTTAGTTAAAGTTTTTGTAGACAAACACAAATAGATAAACAGACAGATGTACAAAACAAAAACTCATCTACCCACAATTTCTCCATTACTGGGGCATAGTAAGACACCTATGGAGAAACCAAACCCATCAATGCTCAGGTCTGTATTGTGTTATAGTACAAGTGACACCGAGCCACTCAAACTCAATGCTCAGGTCTGTATTGTGTTATAGTGCAAGTGATCTCATCTGATTCCACCGAGCCACTCAAACTCAATGCTCAGGTCTGTATTGTGTTATAGTACAAATGACACCAACACACTCAAACTCAATGCTCAGGTCTGTATTGTGTTATAGTACAAGTGATCTCATCTGATTCCACCGAGCCACTCAAACTCAATGCTCAGGTCTGTATTGTTTTATAGTACAAATGACACCAAGTCACTCAAACTCAATGCTTAGGTCTGTATTGTGTTATAGTACAAGTGACACCAAGCCACTCAAACTCAATGTTCAGGTCTGTATTACCGGTATACATAGTCATATATATTATCTGTATTGTGTTATAGTACAAGTGACACAGAGCCACTCAAACTCAATGCTCTGGTCTGTATTGTGTCATAGTACAAGTGACATCTAGCCACTCAAACTCAATGCTTAGGTCTATTTTGTGTTATAGTACAAGTGACACCAAGACACTCAAACCCAATGCTTAGGTCTGTATTGTGTTATATTACAAATGACACCGAGTCACTCAAACTCAATGCTCAGGTCTGTAATGTGTTATAGTACAAGTGACACCTATCCACTCAAACTCAACGCTCAGGTCTGTATTGTACATAGTCCTGTATATTATCTATATTGTTTTATAGTACAAGTGACACCGAGCCACTCAAATTCAATGCTCAGGTCTGTATTGTATTATAGTACAAGTGACACCGAGCCACTCAAATTCAATGCTCAGGTCTGTATTGTATTATAGTACAAGTGACACCGAGCCACTCAAACACAATACTCAGGTCTGTATTGTATTATAGTACAAGTGACACCGAGCCACTCAAATTCAATGCCCAGGTCTGTATTGTGTTATAGTACAAGTGATCTCATCTGATTCCACCGATCCTCTCAAACTCAATGCTCAGGTCTGTATTGTGTTATAGTACAAGTGACACCAACACACTCAAACTCAATGCTCAGGTCTGTATTGTGTTATAGTACAAGTGACACCATAAACCACTCAATCTCAATGCTCAGGTCTGTATTGTGTTATAGTACAAGTGACACCGAGCCACTCAAACTCAATGCTCAGGTCTGTATTGTGTTATAGTACAAATGACACCGAGCCACTCAAACTCAATGCTCAGGTCTGTATTGTGTAATAGTACAAGTGACACCGAGCCACTCAAACTCAACACTCAGGTCTGTATTGTGTTATAATACAATTGACACCGAGCCACTCAAATTCAATGCTCAGTTCTGTATTTTGTTATAGTACAAGTGACACCGAGCCACTCAAACTCAATGCTCAGGTCTGTATTGTGTTATAGTACAAGTGACATCAAGCCACTCAAACTCAATGCTCAGGTCTGTAATGTACATAATCGTATATACATGTATAATACAGCATTGCTGTTGCACTAAAGGTGCATAGCTACATTGCATAGCTGCATGGTCTCAATTCTGATCGATTCCTGCAATTGTCGGGGGTTTCCGTCCTTAAACCACAAAAGTAGATCTATTATTTCCAAATATCCCGTATATCGAATTCGGTTCTTTAAATTATCCTTACTTTTAAATTAATTATAAAGAATAATTATTTTGAGGCTAAAAAGGGGATTTAACAGTAAAATTTAATGCAAATAATTCTATATAATAAATGCTTATATTTGTATGAACATGATACTTCAGGTACAAGGAATCGGTCCTACCTTCAAACTAACGGTCAATCTACAGAACACGTCCCTCAGTCAGCCCTCCACCAGTCTACTGATTACGTTCTTATAAGAAGAAAAACTGTACTCCTTCAAAAAATCCTTCATTGAGGTCTGTATTCTTCCATAATTTTCATTTCAAACTAAGATCTTTTTAAGAAATTATATTTTTTGTTGTAAAATTACAATGTATGATCAGATGAAATCGAAACATTTTTTTATACTAAACGTCTTTCAATGTTTATCAGGTGCCTTTGCTGGTTCCCGGCCTGAACTATGCCTTTGAGACATTTGTTGAATGTTTGAGTGACAAAGGGGTCTCAGACAATATCAAGGTATGGGGACAGAAATTAATTAAGATTATATAGTGAAGCAAACAATCTGTGCATAAAGCATATGGTGGGTGTTACCTATCAACAGATCTAAAGAATGCTTACTTCTAAATGGCACCTGATCCCACCTCTTATGTATGAAGAAGTCTCTGTTTGCTCTGCTCCGAATTCATACTGTTGTCAATGGACTTTGAGCTTGACAGTACTGTTTATCTTCATATTTCATCATGATATAAGATGCCTTCATTGTATTTGCATCTTTGAATTTTAAGCGTTCATGAGTCATATTGTTTTAAAATAGACTGCTACTTTAAGATTTAAAATTCAAACTTTTAATTGTTGCACAAAGAATAAAAAATGGCAAAAAACCTTGAATTTGCTCTATATTTATGACCTGCTTTGGTCAGGCCTTTGTTTTGAAGGAAGGTTCCCAGGTCCCTTTAATTACTGGGGTAATTAGCATGCCTGCACTGATGTGGAACCTGTGTCTAAAGTCTGCACCAAGAATGAGGATCTCTTTGAATAAACCGTAAAGACTGAATAACTTAACAGCATGTCATAGAAATAACATTGTAACTCAGATACTGGAGACTTGATGCATGTAGTGTTGAAAGTAACATTAGGAATATTACATTTTTTAATATTTCGCAGAATAGGTAAAAAATACGGTGGTATACAGTGTATTTAGGACACGCAATTATTTTTTTTTTATTGTCAGAAAAAAATTATCTTGTGAAAACGACATAATTATCTTGTGAAAACGAGATATTATCTTGTGAAAACGAGATAATATCTTGTGAAAACGACTTATTATCTTGTGAAAACGTGATAATATCTTGTGAAAACGAGATATTACTAGTATCTTGTGAAAACGACTTATTATCTTGTGAAAACGAGATATAATCTTGTGAAAACAAGATATTATCTTGTGAAAACGACTTATTATCTTGTGAAAACGACATATTATCTTGTGAAAACGACTTATTATATTATGTCGTTTTCACAAGATAATATCTCGTTTTTCACAAGATATTATCTCGTTTTCACAAGACATTTTCTCGTTTTCACAAGATATTTTCTCGTTTTCACAAGATAATATCTCGTTTTCACAAGATAATATTATTTTCTCGTTTTCACAAGATAATATCTCGTTTTCACAAGATAATAAGTCGTTTTCACAAGATATTATCTCGTTTTCACAAGATAATTATGTCGTTTTCACAAGATAATATCTCGTTTTCACAAGATAATAAGTCGTTTTCACAAGATAATATCTCGTTTTCACAAGATAATAAGTCGTTTTCACAAGATAATATCTCGTTTTCACAAGATAATAAGTCGTTTTCACAAGATAATATCTCGTTTTCACAGGATATTATCTCGTTTTCACAAGATAATAAGTCGTTTTCACAAGATATTATCTCGATTTCACAAGATAATTTTTTTCTGGTATTAAAAAAAAAATAATTTCGTGTCCTAAATATACCACCGTAAAAAATGACTAAGAATTAAATTTATTTATTGAAAAATAATCAAAATTAAAGGTACTGACGGAATACATGCTGAACTCTGCCAGACCTAGTAAACTCTAATCTATGCAAAACAAAAAGGAAACCTTTTAAGCTCACCTGAGCCGAAGGCTCAAGTGAGTTTTGTCCATTGTCCGTCTGTAAACTTTTCACATTTTGGACTTCTTCTCAAGAACCAATGGGCCAATTTTAACCAAACTTGGTACAAAGAATCCTTGGGTAAAGGGAAATTTAAATTGTTAGAATAAAGGGCCAAGTCCTCTCACAAGGGGAGATAATCAAGAATAGACAAAAATAGGTTGGGGTCATTAAAAAAATCTTGTTCTCAAGAACCACTGGGCCAGAAAAGCTTAAACTTATGTAGAAGCATCCTGAGGTAGTGTAAATTCTAAATTGTTCAAATCATGACCCCCAGGGGTAGGGAGTGGGCCACAATAGGGATTCAAAGTTTTACATAGAAATATATAGGAAAAAACTTCTTAAAAATTTCCTCTGAAGAGCAACTTGACCAGAAAAGCTGAAACTTAAATGGAAGCATCTTTGGGTAGTGTAGATTCTTAAATTGTTCAAATCATGACCCCCGGGGGTTGGGCGGGGCCGCAAAGGGGAATCATGGTTTTACATAGAAATATTCAGGAAAAATCTTTAAAAGTCGTCCTCTCAAGAACCACTGGGCCAGAAAAGCTGAAACTTATGTTGAAGCGTCCTTGGTTATGTAGATTCTAACTTGTTAAAATCATGACCCCGTGGGGTTGGGCGGGGTCACAATAAGGAATCAGTTTTACATAGAAATATATAGGAAAAATCTTTTAAAATCTTCAGAAGTACCACTTGACCAGAAAAGCTGAAACTTAGGTGGAAGCATTCTGGGGTAGTGTAGATTCTAAATTGTTGGGTGGGGCATATATAGGAAAGATCTTTAAAAATCTTCTTTTCAAGGACCAATGGGCCAGAAAAGCTGAAACTTATGTGGAAGCATCCTGGGGTAGTGCAGATTCTAAATTGTTCAAATCATGACACCCGGGGGTAGGACGGGACCACAATGGGGATTCAAAGTTTTACATAGTAATATATAGGAAAAATCTTTTTAAAATCTTCTCAAGAACTATTTGGCAACGACAGTTGAAGCTTATTGGAAGCATCCTGGGGTAGTGAAGATTTTAAATTGTCCAAATTACGACCTGTTGGGTACGATAGGGTCAGATTAGGTATTACAAGAGGGAAATCTCGTTAAGAAAAACATGGTCTTGTTCTTGAAAGAGGAGTTACATGTACTTCTGTTAATGTTTAAATAACTTATTGGAATCTTTACTGGAATTATTGAAAAGTTGCTAAGTTACAATTTTTGGGTTTGATGCATGCAGTAAATTTGCTGTTTATTCAGCAAATGTTTGCAGGTAGGCAGTATATTAAATTTGTTAGAGAGCTAAGAATTCTCCCAATGATCGGATGATCCCGCAAGAAAATCTGCAAAAGTTCAAACATATGATTTGGGGGGGGGGGGATTTTGTTAATTAGGGAAACTTTCATTGCTTTCTGTTATTAATGTAATTATATCAAGTGTAAAATGGATCATTTGTTTGTAATAACATATACTTATTGTATTATAACAGGTGTTTGTTGTAAAGGACGGGAGGACGGGAAGAGTGTTCCAATCATTACAGGTGTCATCAGCATGCCCATCAGCGAGGGATTGGTGGTGGTCTGAGGTCAACAGGGGTCATCAAAGGTCATACGTCTACACCCACGCCAAGCTTATTTTCTCTTTTTGGTGTGAATTTCAGTCAGTGAAGAAACATTTTGTGAATTGTAAAATTGAACTTTTATTCCATGCAAAATATTAACATTCAAAAAATGAACTGTTTATATGTGCAATGATAAAATATTGAGATACTGAATTTGTAATTTTTTAAAAGGGTGAATGTTACCACATGTTATTTATTTGATTCGAGTGATATGACCAATGATTTTCGTTGGCTTAAATTAAAAAGTTTTTTTCAGTATTCCGTCCAGATGACTGTTTCTCAAATGTTTCCATGTTTACTCTATTGTGCAACAAAACTAGACTTTCTGTACTTTTAAAATAAACCAAAAAAAATTGAAATAAACAATGAGAAACCAGTAAAGATTGATTATATTTTGCATAAAATAGTATTGATCCTTTATTTTTCTTTGCTATATACAATTAAAACTTAACATTTATTTCTTGGCTATTTTATGCATGAATGTTAAAAAGTCTGAACAGAGCATCAAGTCTCAAAGTAGCCTAAGAAATAAAAAAAACCAACTGGCCCCTGACCCACAAAATGTAGGTGACAATAAACTTTTAGGGTCTATTCCGACTTACAAGCATTTTAGGAATGAACTTAAACACACAATAAGGATATCATAATTTCTGAAAACTTTTTATGATTGTGATTATAGATGAACCATAAAGAAGCACACAGTATTCTTCATGTGCTGTAATGTCTTTCTTTTTAGTTTCACATCAGATATTTGATTTTCTTCATTTGCTTCCTTCTATATTCAGCAACAAACAGATTGTCATTTGTGTCTGTACACAGTCCCAAGGGCTCAGAAATTCCAAAGGTTATGAATCGGAGGAACTGTCCATCCTGGTCTATGATGTGGACACAGTCATTGATATAATCAGCTGTAAGGATGTGACTCTGACTGTCTGTGGTGATTCCTTGTGGACTGAATGGTTGGTTCTTTGGAGCAGGAGTATGTCCAGTGTACCTGAATCTCAGTTTTCCGGCCTGATTGACCACCACTACTGCTCTAGCTTTATGGTCTGACACACAGATATCCAGGTTCCTGTTCTCTGTTATTAATCTCTTTGCAGGACCAGAGGAATAAAGAGATTTACCTTCATCATCAAATTCAATGCTTTGTTTCATCGTGGAACCTTGATAACGTAAAACTTGTGTCCGTTCGTTATCATTGTTATTCATGATAACTAAAATGTCACCAGAGGAGGTACTGCAGGCACCGTCAGGTCGCCAGTTCTTTTGTTTCACCAACTTTCGTATCTTCTCATTCTTCACAATGTTTACAGTGCCATCCATGGTATCGACATAAATTAAATCTCCATTTTTTGTCACTGTTATGTCAGAAGGTCTGCACTCGGACTTAGTTGCGATTGACTTGAGTAGTGATCTCTGACTTATGCTGTAGAGTTTCATGGTTTTGTCTTGTCCAGTTGTCCAGATTTCGTCATCACTCAGGCAGGCCACGTTGTAAAGTAAGTGATAATCCGTCTCTAAAGTGGACATAATCTCCGGTTCCTCAAGAAATTGTTTCAATGGAAGGGAGGCATCATCTTCCGGTGATCTCTCTTCTGCCTTCACACTGCAATCAAGTCCATCTTCTTCTGATAAACATGATGATAAACCTCCAAACATTTTGTTGAATTCTTCTTCTTTGATTTTTCCCAATGCCAATTTTGGTAAAGATGGCTCAGCTACTTGAAGAGGATTTTTATATCCTTCTATATCAGTTGTGACATTAATAAGCTTTGTGATGTCCATGTAATTGATCAATCTTTCCATGGAACTGATTTCATCCTTGATTTCGGATATTGTCTTGCTAATTTCATCCATATGATTTTGTAGAGTTTGCCGCTGTTTGTTTTTTATCTCGTCAACTTGATTTTTCAGTTTCTTGACAATCTTTTCAATATTTCTGTGCCAGTCCTCTCCATGTTTTGTTATGGCTGTTGAAAGATCTGCGTGGTCCTTTTCCAACTGACTCATTTTGTTCTGTACATCAGAGGCAATGTTCTGGTACTTGGGGTAAATTGTTTCTTTCAATTCAGTTTGTTCTTTGATAATCTTTTTCTTTTTTTCGTCGAGAACATGTGAGATTTGTAAAAATTCATGACCTAGATGTTGATCAGTCCTGAGGCAGGCATTACAGGCGGGGTCATCACATTCATTACAGTACATTTCATATCTTTTTTTGATATGAGATGCACAAAAGGGATAGAGCGGAGATTTTCTCACAGCGAATCTCACAATTTTGTGTTGTTTAGATATGCCAGACATCATGTGTTCTCCCACACAGGCCTTACACAGGTTGACAAGACATGTATCACAGCCCATCAGTGCCTCGCCGGTCTTACACAGGTCACATGGTCTTTGGACACTGGTCCTGGTCGGATCCATGTCCAAGTAATGCCTGAAATATAAGTTCGAGAAAATGTTAAAGTTATTGTACTGCACCTTAAATCAGAGAAATTTATCTGCATCGACAGCTCATAATTATTGGAGTTAAAATGGTGTTTGCAAATAATATTTATCCTTATGTCGAATGTTGACTGTCGTTTTTCACTCAAACTGTTACACCATTACTTTCAAACTTAATTATCAATGGATTTTTCCCTTAACCCTCTCAATATAATGATCACACGGCGGTTTGAGACCGATCTGAAAGGGACGCTCACTTCTCCGTGGCATCTGATCCTCTGTTGGCAGAGGCCCTTGATTGCTCTGCTTGCAATCAGTTCAGTTTAATGGGACTTTAAATTCTTGTTTATATGGATAATTTGTGAAACAACAACAGTATAAATGTGAAAAGAAATACTTAAGGAAGCTCTTTAGACACTGCTGTCTAAAGAGTTTTAGTTTATTTACCTGAATATGTAAGCTACCTTTTGATGTATATAGATTGCAACAGTAAAAGACACAACTGACTTTATTAATACCATAGACATATAATCAGGACCAGGAAAATCACTATATTTAGCTATATAGCTTAATTTACCTATGTAGCTTTATTTATCTATATAATATAGCTTTATTTTTTTTATTTAGCTATTTTAGAATAGGTTTCTGTTTTATGAAAAGCAGACAAAAAGTTGCATGAAAATTATGGCTGATATTTTTTTAAAAGGTTTGATAAAAACAACCTAGGGCATAGATAGTAAAAACATTCCTCTTTTAGACACTTTTTTACCAAAAAATGCATTATTTTCTATTGTTTTGATAGCTGTCCCTCACTGGAAGTGCGGTGAGGCATGACTAAGTGTGACTGCCTTGCATTGTGCTGAATTATTACAAATCTATTATCTTGTTGACCAAAACTTCTTTTCTTTGTTAAAGTAGCTGCTTAATTAGGGAATAACTATCTTCTAATTTGGTATTTGCGACTGTTAATGCTGATTTAACGGTCACAAACTGAGTTTTACCGGCGACGCATATGGAGCCGGTAAAACGGATGTTTGTGACCGTTAAATCAGCATTAACGGTCGCAAATACCAAATTAGAAGTTTAGTTATTCCCATTCTAATGCAATCCATGCATTTTGTTTGTTGTTTACGTCTTATTTTGTTGAATTTTGTTACATGAAATACGTCACGGAGCATTGTATTTTTGCGTCGCTCTATTATGACGTCACAATGAAAAAGCTTTCACGCTCATTAATGCTCGTTTTACTGCTTCAAACATCAGTGTATGAGCCAATCAAAGAGTGTTTTACAAAAAAATTGCATTAGAATCACAGATTAACTGTAGATAGCCCCAAAACTTTTAGATCTTTGACTGCAATTGCACAAAAGGAGAAACATTTTTATAAGTGGGCTTTTGGTGAATTGTTTTCAGTCCATTTCAAAGTTGAAAACTAATAGTTCATTATGCGACTTTTTGTCTGCTTTATATAAAACAGAAATTTACTCTGAAAAGCTAAATAAAGCTATATATATTATATAGGTAAATAAAGCTAAATACAGGTGATGTAGGTAGATTTAGCTATATGGCTAAATACAGTGAGTTTCCTGGACCTGATAATTTCAAATAATGTAATTAAAAACATAACATTACTTACCCCTACTTTCCCTAGGCAAGTAAACAGCAATGATATCCGTTCTCGATACTTTATAAGTTTATTCTCTACTAGTGCTGAGTAACTGACTCTAGACCAAAATCACTGAAAATGAACCAAAGAAGCACAGGTATGATGTAGGCTAATTTTCTCAATGACTAAATTTTAATTTTCTTTTAGTGTTCAGAGCTTCCTTGGGGGAAATGTGTAAAACGGGTCACTCACAGACTATTACACGCGTTGTTTACATTCTACCTGATATAAAGTTTCCTACTGGACTTTTACGAGAAGTGCTGACTTTCACAATCGACGCTTACTTTTACACAGGTAAAATGTACGGGAGCTCGTTTTTAATAAGAATATTGAAATAAACAGTTGATAATAAGATACGATTAACTTGGTCATTTTTAAACAGATTGATTGATTGATTGTGTATTGTTTAACGTCCCTCTCGAGAATTTTTCACTCATATGGAGACACCACCACTTGCCGGTTGAGAGCTGCAAATTTTTATCCTGTACTCGGCACTTAAGGCCATTGAGCAGGGAGTGATCTTTTTCGTGCCAGCACCTACTGCGACATGGGACCTCGGTTTATAGGTCTCATCCGAGGGACGGTCTCCACGTCCCACAGTGGGATTCGAACCCGCGACGTAAGAATTGACTCCTTATTTCGCGACTCTAGAGCAGACGCTCTATATAACCACTCCATTTTTAAAAATAAAATATTACATTGTTCAGAAAAGGAATTCCCAAAAAAGTTCTTGAGCTAGTTAACATTAGTTTACTCTTAGTTAAGTAAAGTTACTGTATTGTATATTGTAATTTTTTTTTAAGTTTTGACTGAAGTAAATAAAAACAATAAAACTATAAATTTCAAAAAGATAAGTTTTATTATCTTAATATCCTACAACCATTTTTCTGACTTGTCTAGTAAATTATAGTTAACTATAATATAGACAATTTTTGTTATAGTTGCAACCGCCCTTTCTAAAACCCCTACACATCCACAAATTGTTATTTTAGCTCTCTATAACACATGTTAAATTCATATTGTATACCATGTAAGTGTTCTAAATATAATTTGTACTTTTAAATTTTTCTTTTTTGGCTAGATTATACGTAGGAGTAAAATAAAATTGACTGAATAATCCATGAATTCACTCTATCTGTTGATTATTTTAAACACGTTGATATAGTCTTGTTTGTAGTCATACCGGTATTAATTTTCCTTTTCTGATGTTTTGTTTGGGACAAAACTGCAAATTATTCACTACATTAAATTTTCATGATAAGAGAATTTTGGGTTGTGTATTTTTTTTTTTACTAGATTGCCCCCCCCCCCCTGGAAAAAAAAATCGGGATCCGTGCGAGTTCATATATAATATGAATTATTATAATTTTAACCCAAATGTGCATACAATGATGCATGATCAGGAACACATGGTATTGTTAATTACGCATGCACGGCCCTTGTGTTCGAATGATCACACAAGTAGTAGTCTATACTATTATTTCAATCTCTTAAAAATGAAAACTTAATATTCACTGTTTCATGACTTTCCAGATTAAACAATACTTTATCAATACTGTAAATACAGATACAATAGTAATTTCCCCTATTTTCTCGTAATTTTTAATTTTGTCTTTGTATAGGCACCAGAACAGGGGGCTTAATGGGGGGCATCTTCCGGAAATACATTTAGAGTCGAAATACCCTTCCCTGATGAATGCCTTTTTCTAGGTGACAAAATTTATCCAAACCGACATCCAATCCAGGCACGTAGCATCGTTTTGAAATTGGGAGGGGGGGGGGGGCAGCATGAGATCTGAGATAATTTTTTTTTGACTTACCGGAAAATATTGAAAAACAAAATAAGTAAATAAAAAAAATTGCACAAACTCGAAAATCCTACTTCGGGGGGGGGGGGGGGTGTAGGAGAGTCAAACATTTTTCAATGCCACCTTCTTCCAGTAACAATTTTTCTTTACATTCAATATTACATTTCCCTAATATCGACTTCCTGTAGTATCAAGTGGGGGGGGGGGGGGGGGGGCAACCATCCTTTCAATGAACATTTCCAATACTTAAAGTAATGTTAGGAAAAAAGTGCCCCGCCCCCCGGTTGCTAAGTGCCTGCAATCATAACCCCTTTCACTATACAACAGATACACGGTCGTTTATATTTGAGTAGTGTGTGGAGAAAACGTAGATATAAATTACGACGAGTTTTTTATATTGTATATGGCCTCATTTATAGAAGAAATGAAAAATACAACATATTATTACAACTTTTTTCTTCAATCAATATAAAGAGTATAAGATTGAAATTTTTAAGTTATTTTTTAATTGAAAAGTTGATTCTTAGATTGTATAATTTATAGCTTCATTTATTTGAAGTACTAGTTACTGTACTTTTAGAATTTTCAATCATTTTTTGGTAATATGTCTTTTGTTAACTGGAAATCATTTTTTTCATAAAGAAATCCCAATCAATATATGTGCTATCTACTTCAGGGAACAAATTCTTATACTGGACGTATAGAACATGCAATCAATCAAGCATACACTAATTTTCATCGCGTGGTCGTCAACTTTGAAAGTCATCTTCGATCTTACATTTATTTTAGATTTAATTATATACAAAGTATAAATAAATATTATCAATTCTGTGCCTCCTTACATAAGGCAGGTTTAAACGTAAATGTAAGCGTCGATTGTAAAAGTCAGCGCTTCTCGTAATATAAAAATCCATTTATAGCTTTGTCCTCGTTTATTAATACGCTAACTCTAACACTGGCAAATGCCGTTATAGTAATTAAAATTATATGAATAAATCTTGTTCATGAGCAATTTTTTAAAAACACAAAACTATGATGTAGGGTGAATTCACCATGCATCGGATACCCTTGTACTTCAACAAGTTCTAGCGATATCGCTACCGACGGAAAATTATCAAAATGGACCTTAATATTTAGTATGTGATTAAAATATAAATTTTGAACACAGTTATATGCCTTTTATTGGGAAAATATCCTCAAAAATCGAGTTTTTAAAAATAACCCAGAATTCACCATGGATCGGATATTATTTACCATGCATCGGACAGACGGTATTTGGACCGAAAAAATACCATACCTTTATCACAATGCTTTAAAGTCCTTGATATGGATATATTTTTATCTTTTATCTAAGAAATTACCCTCAACTTAAATTTAATTGACGATATTGTTGCACAAATGTAGAAAGATTCAAGATACCTCACTCTGCCTTAGAAATGCTTTAAAATGCTTGTAATGCGGTAATTCGCGCCTTTTTCTCATGGTTTACCATACTCTAGTTTGTAGAAATAAATTAAGTCAAATTCTAGACCTCATTTATCGATAACTTGTATTTTTCTCAAAATATAGAATTTTTATTTTCTATTTCCATTTAAAAACAGCTGTCAGTTGGGTTCTGTATGAAAATGGTAGTGCTTACCTTTGCATCGGAAAGTGTCCGATGCATGGTTAATTTGTGTCCGATGTACGGAGAAATGAACATACTAGTGAAAACCAGCTTTTAAAAGAATTATACGAACATTGAAGTGAAATTTCTTTAAAATTTTTGTAAAATTATCAATCTTTGACTTTATTCACCAAAGTCTGCCTCGTTCCGTTGAAGTCGAATTTTAAGAACGATAACTCTAAAAATCGCAAAATCTTAAATTCCTGGTTGTTCCCCTTTGATGATGTAAAATATGACGTAACTTCAAGGCCATTCTCGGGGTATTTTTATCACAACATGATAATAACAATCGGTATCATTAAAAAATTTAAGTCTTCAGCTTCAAGACAGAAACAAATAAATACACGGAACTCTTAAGTTGAAAGAGAGTTTATTTTCTAAAGTTGTCCGATGCAAGGTATGTGTCCGATGCATGGTGAATTCACCCTAATTATAAGAAACAATTAAATACCATCTTTATCCTTGTTTATTACCTGCCTCATGGCCTCTTGTACGGCAGATGGTAAAACTAGTACTTTTAGTACCCGACTTCCGACAGTCCGACTGGGGTGTTGCTAAAACGCGGAACGAAAACAGAAAATCTATGTCATGATGCAATTAGCCTAGATTCGATATGAATCAGATATAAAAGCAATATTCTTTATATAAAAGTCATGTCTAATAAAAAAATTATCGAAAACTACGATTTATTCATAAATCATCCACACCCTCAGTCTATGGAATACATATTACCCAAATCTTGAGTATCTATCTAAACGATTTGTACATTTCTTTTTAAAGAATGCTCAGTATTCATAAAAGAAGATATTGTTTTGAAATAGCAGGGACCTATATACTAACTTATATACTATATATATACTTAGTATATAGGTCCCTGGAAATAGGCAGGAATAAAGAAAGACTACTAGTATGTAAATGTACATATATATATTATTATGTTTATTCACCAATCAAGGGCCCACGGGGGGCATGAACATTATATTACAAAATGATAACATTGATTACAATTCTATATTAAGGATAATGTGACATGACTAGTGATTAAGTTTGACATTGAGAAGTGCATCACCACACTGGATCAAAAGCATAGAAACCATAGAATGATAAAAGAAAACACAATTAAATAAAAATGATAGATATAAGGTAAATTAAAAAAAAAAAAAAAAATCTTGTAGTAATGGCAGTACTCTAATATAAAACTAGTGCATCTTGAATACAAAGGGCACCAGGGGATGATACCTCTACACAGCCAGTCTGGCAAACCTGTACCCTAAGTATTGAAGATGGTCATTCAAAAAAAAAAAAAAATCAATTAAGTATTAACAGAAATAGTAATTTCAATTAATAAGTACTTAGCATATAATTAGAAACTTAATGCAAACTAATCTCTTGGAGTTAGTTCAATAGATATTTGACATATGCATACCCACATACACAAACACACACTTACTGTTACACAAATCCATGCATACAAAAATAATAATTTATATACAAATATATGTATGTATAGTATATATCATAAACATACACTTATTGTTACACATATCCATGCATACAAAAATAATAATTTACACACAAATATATGTATATATATAAACG